GGCGACTGCCACCTGACTTCTCTCTTCGCCGTGGTTTCTTTTATTTTGCCTAACCGGCTTCTTTTTGGGATCCACGGCGAGCTATTGGGACAGCTAGATCCGAGCTGATGCCTGACATCTATTCCACTTAAAAGGCAAAGATGTCTTTGAATTCCTTCAACAAATTGTGCAAGTCTGCACCCAACTTGGCAAGAGCAATCGCACTAACCTTAACAGTACGCTGGTCTAGAGCAATATCAACATGTTTACCAGCAGGCTGGGGGCGGAGTTCATCTGACCGTTCCCTGATCAGTGATTGCTATTGCTTCTCTTTTTTCACGGCCACCAACTAGTCGACCTTTCACTTCTTTCCGGCTGCTGTTAGAGCAGGCTCGGCTTCCTTGACATCGTCAAGGTCTATTGCCTCCTCACCCCAGCCGGCTGCGGCCACTATGGGCTTGACGTCTGAGAGGTAGTACTCTTTAGTCGTCTTTTGGTCCCCGTTCAGGGAGCCAACAAACCCGTCATCCTTCTCAAACTTTAACAACATGAGGGATGGAATAATGACGGCCTTAGATTCATTCAGAGTCGTATGGCCCAATATCATATTATAGGCGGTCAGCTCCTCTACGACCAAGAACCGGACTACCATGTGGCATCCCTCTCTTTTCTCCCCCAGCCGGATGGGTAGGTCAATCCGTTTGACTGGGTTCACAACTCCACCCCCAAAACCAACCAAGGGGTGAGAAACCTTGTGCATGCTGCCGGGCTTGTACTTCAGTTTTGACAAGCACTTGTAGCCGGTGATGTCAGACGAGCTTCCGATGTCAATGAGGATCCGTCCGACATTCTGGTTGGCCACTTTGCGCTCAATGACAATGAGGTCATCATGCGGTCGGCAGACCTTGCCCCTGTCCTTTTCAGTGATGATGACCTCAGGGAAGGTGTCAGTAGACGCCTGACCCTCATCAGCTGAACTGACATCCAGCCGTCTGACATGGTCCTTGGTGCCCCTGATGGTTGGGCCCCCTCCAACAAAGCCGCCTGCTATTGTGTAGATCGACTCTTTGTCAATGTCCGAACTACTAGCAGGTTGGGCATCCTTTTTGAACGACTGTTTGGGGTTTGTCTTCAAGGTCACCTTAGACTTCAGGATGTAAGACTTCAACACCCCCTCATCAGCCAGACGGTCCAACAGCCGCTTGAGACTATAGCAGTCGTTGGTGTCGTGGCCAATATCCTCATGGAAGTGGCATTACTTGTTTTTGATCCGATTTTTGACGGAACCTTTCATAGCAGCGGGCTTCTTTATGGTCACCCGGTCCTTTATCTCTATGAGGATGGAGTAGCAGTCTTTGTTAAACTCGTACTTTGGGACATACGGTTTAAACTCTTTCTTTTTCTTTTAGGACAGCTGATCAGAGTCGTCAATCGCCTAGATCTCTTTTCTCTTCTTACTCTCTTCAGCTTTCTTAGCTGGCTGAACTTGCCGACTCTCTTTTTTGTCAGAATTCTTGGAGTTCGACTTCTTGCTGATGGAGCAGAGCTCGGTCGCCTGTATATAGGCTTCCGCCTCCATCAGCGCTTCCTGGAGGGTGGCAACCCTCTTTCTGACGAGGTCAAACTTAAAAGTCGACCCGTCCTTCAGACCCTTGAAGAAGTCTGTATAAGCCACATCGTCAAACAACCCTTGAATCTGGATTCTCACTAGATTGAATTGCCTGACATATGACCGAAGCCCTTCTTTATCCCCCTGCTGCACTGCACCTAAGTCAAGACTTGTTTTCTTAGCAGGGATATTCATAGAGAAGTTAGAAGCAAACAAGAACGCAAGCATCTTGAAGCTATTAACGCAGCCGGCTGGTAAATTGGCGAACCATTGTTGGGCGATGCCCTTCAATGTAGCCAGGAAGCATCGACACTATGTGGCGTCATCCAACCCCTGCAAGTACATGAGGTTGGTGTAAGCCATGAGGTGGTCTTCAGGGTTGGTGGTACCATGACATTCTTAACCTTGGACGGCTGTGCCGCCTCGGTTATTTCCTTGGAGAACGCAGAAGGTTGTTCCCCAAGTTTTAGCAAACGGAGCTGCCAGTCCAAAGGTTGGACGTTTTGCGCCGCCTGACCCTGAAAGAGGGTCGGTTGCATGTAAGGTTGTCCATACGGCATATATGGCTATTGAGGCACATACGGGGCCTAATGGATCATCTGAGGGCCAGTGTAGACGGACGGTCCGCCTGACTGACTCTCTCGTAAAGATTGGGAATACCTCATTGAGGTATTCTGGAAGCTGTCTGGGTAACTCGACGTTGAAGCTAACTCAGACAGTTGCTGGTTTCTCTTCTGCTCAATTAGGAACCGGGCATCAAAGATGTCTTCTTTGAGCCATCCGGCTGGACAGGCCGGACGACCTTCCTCTTCCCTGTCTCGTGGAATCGGATCTTGGAAAGATCAATTAAGGGCCGCTTCCCCTCCTTTGATTTAGGATGCGGAGTGAGCTCTCGGTCCCTGAATGGCTTGTTCTTCTCAGGGTGAGAAGGCTTCTTGGCCGACTGACCCTTGATTGGACCAACCGTCCTCTTTGTGATCAAATCCTTGATCTCTCCCTTGAAACTCGCCGTGAGTTTCATTAGCTCATCTCGGGTAACAGGGGCAGTCTCCTCTGCCGCCTGGGGCTAACCAGATGGCTCGTCGGATGAACTGCCTGGACCCGATTGATCATTGCCCCGTTCCCTTATATTTTTGGAACGGATGCGTCTGGGTTTGAGTGACCCATCTGCGGCCACATACGTTCGACTTCAAAGTCATCAGTATCATGGTCCGAATGGACCTCAGCTTTGACTGTAGGTTGTTTCTTATTAGGAGGCGGTACAAACTGTTGTGAAGCCATCTTAGAGGTACTCTCCCCTCAGACGGTGCTAAATGTTTCGGGGTTTTTGTCCCTCGGGAGAGTTACGCCACCAAGACTAGCTCCGGGCGCTTGTACCTGCTAAACAACGGAGACTCCGGTTGGGTGGAGTTCCGCCTCCGACGATCAAGTTAGAACGTGTACGAAGAAAGTGAAAAGGTGCGGAAACTAAAGTGAGATCTTCTCGGATTCCGAGATCAGGGGATTTCTCTGATGTGAGAAAATCGCTTGTATTGTAATTATTGAATGTATCTCTTTTCCCAAAGTAGGGTAAATCTCTCTATTTATAGGGGCATTGGTAAAGGTGCCCCTATCTAGCTCAGAATGACCTAGATTTGGGGGCTGCACCGTTTTGCGGCTTTTCTCGGAAATTAGGCCTTGAAGGCCGTCTTTTTCCCCACTGATTGGGAGTGCCACGTGTCAGCTAAAGGTGACACGTATCATCCTCTTATTGGGCCACGTGGCCTGGGTATTTTTACCTAAAATACTAAATATCCTATTATCACTTGAATTCAGGATTGTAATAATAATTTGTCTAAGATATTAGTATCATTCATACTTTGTTATTAAAGTTGTTTGTACTAAATTTAATGCTCAAACTAATTAACATTTTATTGTACAGATGGAAATATGGATTCTTAAATGTAACCTTACCAAATTGTAATTGTATATATATATATAAGTATTAATACATTAATATAATGACCAAAAGTAGCCACCAATATTACCTGTTGTCATTATAAAATTAAAGCATCATTTCATTTGACTTGCAAATTAAAATGACAAAAATTTGCTACAAAATAAACCCGTGCCTTGCACGGGCTAAAGCCTAGTTTTATTTTATATATGATGTGCTAAAGAATAACAAGAAGGTATTTTATGATGATTATATCTCTAGTACATTTTTTTTTACCTTAATTCTTAGGACGATTATGATTTTTTTAAAACATCATATAATTATTTATTCAGCGTGTCTTGTGTGCGGCTGGTCACATTATATGGCCGTTTATAAAAGAATAAATTAACCCCTAAAACACCGACTGAGTAATCCCTGTAACACTGATCACCGAGTAACCCCGACAAAGTAACCCCTATTACATTATCGAAGTAACCCCTGAACCCTAACCTAGTAACTCCTATAACACTAACAAAGTAACCTACATCATGGCTGGCCACACCGTGTAGAATTTGTGTTATCTATCACGTCATAGCAAATTTTGCCATATATAATAAATAATAAAAATAACGACCCGTTACAACGCCCGGAATACTCACTAGTTTAGATTATAATAAAAATAGGTGAATTAAACAACCGAGAATAATGAACTTGTAAAATGTATTCATGTATTAAACCCTAATTTTTTTTTCCCTTTATTTAAATTGTAAAATGTATGTTGAAAATAATGAAATTGTTGGCTGAAATTGAGAAAATTAGTCTAATTTTACAATTGAGAAGATGAATTCAACTATGGAAATCATTACAATTGTTTTGGATGATACAATTGTTTTTTTTTTTTTTTTTTTTTTTTTTTTTCAGTGGACTCTTAATAGTGAATTGGGGATATATATGTTATATTGGTAATGATGGTGTATTGGTGTCACTTGTGAATGATTAATTTGGAAATAATCTGTGACATTGAGTAATACGATTGATACCATGTTTTCAAATTATCAACTACTCATTTCTTGTGTTCGTTTATAATTTCTGACGTTGATACTATTAGTTTTGATGATTGTGAAAATTGGGTTGTACGAAGTATCTTGTATGGATCAGATTTGCTCCATTTCAAATAATGGCTCAAAGACTTGGATTAACAAGAGAAAAGGATTGAACATGAATGCGTGCAATCAAATCGATGTCATTTAGACCATTGTTATGTTGTAGTAATTTTATACAGGTGAATGAAACAAAGTCTTTTTTGACCCAAACGCAGTAGATTCATTTGAACCTTGAGGATTCGGTTTACTTGCCTGTAGATATTTGTAATTCATCTATAGGGGCTGAATTTCTAGCTTGTAATTGTAAGGAAAGTGATGGATTTATGAGTTAGGAGTGAGTGAATATCTTTTTTCTTATCAGACATATCATGCTAACTGGACTTTTTATGCTCACTAGATAAAGGTGGTGGAAACTAGGAGGCTTTGTAATTGGGACTAATTTGTAGTTATGAATGATGGATTTTGAAACGTGCACTTTGATCACGTGTTTACTTTATTAAGAAATACCAACTACCAATTATACTTATTTGTGGTCGTGGAACTATATTACTATGAATGGCATGTAATCAATGAGAACTAATGATCATGGACTGTAGAAGGGATAATCAGCTATCGCTATTGATACCATATTAAAGCAAAATCATATCGATTGTGGCATAGGGGATAATAGCTGTATTCATTTTTTTTTTTGCTGCATTTTATGTAGCTTCGGAAACAAGTTTTTAGAAATCAAATAAGTGCATATTGGGAATGAGCACCAGTTAGAGCCTTTATATTACCTTGTCGCACATAGTATTATGTTTATTCATGTAATTTTTTTTTTAGAATGAGCATCAGTTAATTGTCATTTCGAGCCTTTATATTACCTTGTAGCACATAGTATTATGTTTATTCATGTAATTTTTTTTTTTAGAATGAGCATCAGTTAATTGTCATTTCGAGCCTTTCTCCCTTTCTTCACAACAAAAGTACCAAAATCACCTTCACCATCATCATCTTCATCATCATCAACATTCAATTCAACTGTTCTAGGAACAAATTTAGGTGTCGAAGGAGACATAAATGTCGGATTGCGTGATTTTCTGACAGAATGCGGAGCTTCCGAATGATGTTGATCGGGCTTAACGATGAAAGTGACGGAAATGTCATCGGAAGTTTCGGCGTCGAAATCAAAGGAGCCGGCGCCGCTGAAGTCCTTGGGAAGACGCTTGAGAAGAGGAGGGAGAGAGTCGTCGTCCATGTCATCGCCGGTGGTGTTGTGGACGACGAAGGTGGAGAAAGTGTTGTCGGAGGATTTTGCCAAAATTGATGGTGTTGGAGGTTTTTGACCACGTCGAGGCAGTGGCGGACCCACATGTAGTCATTGTGGGTCCAGTGACACACTATTTTAAAAATAAAATAAAATAAAATTTAGATCTATTTCACATTTTCACGGTACTCCTTGACTCCATTGAAGCGTACTCGAAATTCTCCATTGAAAGGGTTTTCTCTCCTCCACTGAAGCAGTCTCAAAGGTTAGATGCTTTTTTTTCTTTAATCATTGACCTAATTTAATTAATTAATTGTCACTATGTACTCAATTTAGGGTTCTTCGAAGTTGGATAATTGAACTATTGGTTATAGATACTCGAAGAATTTAACATAATTTTTGGAGTCTTGATAATTGAGTCAATTTTGGTTGCTAATGTGTTGCAGGGTTTGGTTTGTGGAGCGTACTCGAAATTCTCCATTGAAGCGGCTTCTGACTTTCTGAGCTTTCTCTCCTCCATTGAAGTAGTCTCTAAGGTTAGATGCTTCTTTTTCTTTAATCATCTAATATTAATTTTGACAATCTAGTGTTAATCGTGTATTTAATTGTCAGTATATACTCAAATCAGACTTCCAAAAAATTGGGGCTTAGGGAGAATAGAATTAATTGACAAGTCCACATTTGAAAAGGAACAAAAATGAGTGAATGACCCAAGGGTTTCTCTTTATTCTGTGCTATTTTGCTGTTATTTGCTTCTTGGGTATGCCCAATTGCCCATATGTTTCTCCAAGAATTGTTGTTGCTGTATGAAGCTTACTTTTGTAAGGAAGCTGTATGAAAGTATGAAGCTTACTTTTGTAAGGAAGCTGTATTAATGCTAGTTGATGTTGGATGAACCCAGATTTTAAGTCAGTGACATAGATAGCTAGGAGAAGGAGAACTCTTATTTTATCAGTTTAATGTTTTCTAATTATTGGAAGTTTGCTTGTATTGCTGTTCTATATATGTATGTATGTTTTTTTTTCCAAAAAATAAATATGTTGTACCTATCTATAACTATTTTATTGGGTCTGGGTTGCTTGGTGTTATACATGTATTGATGTTCTTTTTCTAAGAGCCTTGCATTGTTATTAAAACTCTATTGTTTTGTAGAAACTTTATAAGAGCTTCGTGCAAACATTTAGCGGTTGTTTCAGGTTGGGGAATTCAAGTTTTGGGCGGTTTCGTTAGTGGGGCTGGGGCGGGGGGTCTATTGTGCTCATGTGGGTCTGGAAGGAGGGTGGTTTCGGTGGTGGTGCAGGGGGAGGGGGTGGCTTTCGGGGCTAGGCTGGGGAGTGGTTGTCGATGGACGATGATGGGACAACCTATTAATCAAATCCTGGATCCGCCACTGTACTCAATTTAGGGTTCTTTTAAAGTAGAATATTCAACTATTGCGTATAATTACTCAAGTTATGATACATTATAACTTGCGATTGTCTTTCTAAAATTCTACTATTCATATTCTTAATAATGTGAGAATAATTTAATTGAGTCAAAACCTTAAATGTTTGGATCAAACTATGAATATAGGCCTTTTCTCTGCCCTTGCTTAGCGAAGGCCCTAATTTTGTGTTATTTGCGGTGAACTTATGTTGGCGTAATCGCCATTTTATGTAGATTGTTTGCACTCCTTGATTTGTTAATCTTACTAGTCAAAGTGATTATTGCCTGTGATTCGTTACCCGAAATCTTACATTGCAATTTGACTGGTCATAAGGGTTTCAAATTACTTATTAGGGTTGTTTGATGATGGCTGCATTGGAGAGCATTTAGCAAATTTGGAGCTAGTGAATCGTCTAGTTATGATAAAGTGGAGAACTCAGAGCATCAGTTAATTGTCATTTCGAGCCTTTATATTTCCTTGTCGCACATAGCATTATGTTTATTCATATAATTTTTTTGCCCCTTGTGAATCCGAACAAGCAATGAATTTTGGTGTTCCAGCTCCTCCTTCGTTGCCTAACAATAAGTTCTTTTTTATGCTAGGATCACTATTTTGGACTTTGCTTTAAGCGAGTTGCTGCCATGATAGGAAGTGCCCGTGTTCGGCTTAGTGGTTGGCAGCAGGCTGCAGTTGCTCTTGGTTCAGCTGTTGGTGCACTAGTTGATCCACGAAGAGCTGATCTCATAGCAGCCTTGGGAGAGACTACTGGAAAGCTTGCTTTCGAAAAAGTTCTTGAAAGAATGAAAAGAAGTCAAGAGGGCAAAGTAAGTCTTTTGGTCGTTTTTTTGAACTTCTATATTTCTATAAATTAAGTACCTTAATATCTTATATGGGCGAAAGTGCGAAACCGTTAGTTGTGTTTATCAAGTTTTGTTGAAATTTATTTATGTATGTACCTTAGTAGTAATATTAATACTTAATTTTATGATCATAGTTTTTGCATTATAGCTGTATCATGTATGCCTTTGTGTAGACATAACAAACATGTGCTCTTCTTTGTTGAAGTGTATAATAAGGATCTATTGCAGTTCCATCTTGGACAACTCCTCACGTATATTAGTTTGCATCATATTCTCTAGGTTTTATTTTAGAAGAATAAAAATCAAGCTTTTCACAGTATTGGCAAGTAATAGCACCCTTCTTTGTAATTGACAAATTACCAAGCTTTATCCTGCTAAGAATATATTGAATTTTCTGCATGAAACATACACCAAAATTTTTTTCCATGGTTTGAACATTTATCTTACTACTACTTTGAATTACCATGTAGCACCCTTGTTTGAATTTGACAAACTACTACTATAGCGATAATCTACTAACAATTTGCTGAATGTTATATACTCTTTCTCATATATTTATCGTCGTTTGTGTAATATGATTGTAGAAGGTATTAATTTAGTTATTACACATATTTGACGACCTGGCGAGTTCCTAACTTTGTTGTTTTGTGAGTGTCTAACCTACTTGAGCTGTCAGGAGGTTTCTGTGTGCTGAAGTTCGGTGCATACTATGCAATTGAAGTATTGGCGGTTTTTGAACATTAAACCTGACAGTTTATTATATCATAGACCATCACATAGGCTCATCTCCCCAACATTGATGCCTTGGCTTTCATTGGAGGCTTAATAAGAAAATTTCTGTTCATTACTATTATGACTTGAACTTAATTTTGTTGATATGCTTTTATTTACAGGCAATTCTCTTGGAAAGGCCACGAATTATATCTGCAAATGTTGGGCATGCATGGGACCTCCCTGAAAACACATTTGGGGCTGCATATGCCAAGTTCATGGGATCAAGGAATTTTTCTCCAGATGATAGACCACCTGTACGGTTTTTGGACACTGAAGAGTTAGCATATGTGGCTATGCGGGCTCGAGAGGTGCATGACTTCTGGCACACTCTCTTTGATCTTCCCGCAAACTTATTGGGTGAGTCAGCTCTGAAGGTAATAGAGTTCCAACAAATGCATCTTCCAATGTGCTTCATGTCAGTCATAGGAGGTTCAGCAAGATTCAACTCTAAACAGAGATCACTTTTCTTTGAGCATTACTTACCCTGGGCCTTGCGTGCTGGAATGAACTGCACAGATTTGATGTGTATATATTATGAGCGCCACTTCGACGAGGATCTGGATGTTGTTCGGAGAAAATGGGGGATCATTCCTGCTCCTCCCCTTGCTGCTAAGGTTTGAAATAATATATGGCCAAGAGTAACTTTTGTTTAAGACTCTTGATTTCCCCTCATATACCTATGTTAAATCCTTCACACTGACATGGGCACTTGACAGTTGACACTTAATTTAGGACCAAATCATGGAATAAACTTGTAAAATAGCAGATTCTGACACTCGGGTGTACCCATGTCCGAATGAATGTGTCGGGGCAAACATAGAAACGGAAAGCAGGTGTAGTGTAGTGTTACCTGGAGTATGAATCTGAAGCCCGAAGTCCATCTTTGGATTTTGTAGTGACAGTAAGACAACTAGAAATCTTTGTTTTAGTATACTGAGACAGCAACTTGAGAGTCCAGGAGTGGCCTTTTTCTCCCACTTTGCAGGGTATTATTAGCTATTGCCCTTGGTTATGAATCCAGGAGACATGCAATATCCTAATGATCAACATTATGGATTAGCAGCTGCTTTAGGTTTTCAACAAGTGCTGCTATAAACATTAAATTGGATTTTTTAGTGTTGTGTTTGTCACTTAGTCTAATTGTTCTCTACTAAATTTAGAGTGATAAAATTGTTACTTCGCCAGGTCAAACTTTCTGCTCCGTTGATCTAAATGATAAGCGGCAAGACATGCCCATGATATATGTTATTCATTCTTCAACATGTGGTCACCTGGCAAGAAGGATCGATATGATGCAAGGTAATTTATGCCAGGAAAAAAGAGGTTTAACGGTAGTAGCCTATTAGGTAGACTTTGCCCGATATTTGGTTCTGGATTTGTTGGTTATCCTTTGTAGTTTGTATGAGGGCCAACATCATGTGTACTTTCAAAGTATGAGGAATTAAGATCTTCGGGATCAATTTAGATCAAATGTTTTACTTGCCACTTTTCTTAGAAGGATGGAAAGTACCAACTGCCATGATAAGGGTGGAACTTACCAAGGGAAATTTACTTGTTTTGTACTCCAATAATACTCCCTAATTTGAAGTATGGACAAGTGCCCATTATTAAAAAAAAAAAAAGAAAAAGGAACTACGTATTGCACTATCTTTTGTTGCACGGGTAATTCTTACCTTACCAGTGCTAGTCATTGTGTTGATTGTAGACTTGTAGACAATAAAAAATAAGTTCTTTGGAACACATTTTATATAATATGAAGCTATAGCAAGACTAGCAACCAAAAATTATATGGACACAAATTTTCCATTTTAAATTAATACTTTTTTCGTCCCTTATTTATTTTTATTTTTTTTTGGGGGGGGGGGGGGTTTGGTGTTGCAATTAAATTGTCCAAATCTATTTAAGAAGTTTTTGTTGGTATTTTTTCACTAGCATAGTTTTTTTTTCCTTAAAAAAATGGCTTTGGAACAATAAAATAGAATAGTAGGCCAAGAGAAGTAAATTTCCACGCACTGTTAATAGTTATATTGAACGAAAATCATTGATTCATCCAATCAAATTAAAATATTACTTTATAATTAATAAATTACTAATATTAACTACGGAATAGAATAGAAGATAAAAGTTGGAAGTTAATTTGTTTTTCTTTGTAGCATATACAAGTATGAAATAATACGAAGTACAATGTATGAGAAGTAATTTTCTTTTTAGAGAAACTCTGTATAATAACAAGGTTTTAGGCACTCTGCCATTCGAATCAACTTACTCCAACTCCAACCTAGATCCTCATTTTGGAAGATTTTAGTAACTTCAAATTTAAATATGTTAGAATTTGTTCAATTTTTTGGTTAATAATCTTGAATTTTCGAAACAGGCTTTTTAATCGTTCATTTTGACAGTTGAATTATTTATAAGGTGCCAACTTTGGAAAATCTACAATTGATAGGCTCACAACAGTCACAACAGTTAGCAATGTAAAAACCTTTGATTCTTGGCTACAATGAAGAGTAGGAACAGTAATTCCTTCTTTTAAAGCGTTAACAGATTTAGTTCACAATTGAAATTCTCAGAAAACCAGCAATCTCCAGCTTACATTACATATAATCCACATTTAATTTTAGCATCAACACAGCAGAAGAGAATAGCAACATCCTTAAGGAACGAACTCAACACTTGGATATCTATATTTGAATTGGCAGTCATTTTAGTTACTGTTTACTATCACCAGGTCCACCAAACAGATAACCTAAAGAAGATCCACCACCTGGGGCGTTGTGAACCTTGGTTGAGGGTCGGTCCTGCATCCAATAAACCAAGATTCTTAATCACAGCTAATGCAAAGAGTTATGGTAAATTTAACAAGATACGCAAGAAAGACAAATTCTAATCTGACTGGTTTACACAATACGAAGGTGCTTGACAATCATCAATATTAGTTTATACAACCAAACAAGTTCATTTTCAAGTTAGTGAGAATTCAAGCTAATCATATTTTAAATGTCACAAAAACACAAGGCGGCCATGGTGGTGACAAACAAGTATCGTCCAGTCTTTTCCAGCTAATCTTCGAACTATTCCAAGTCTTAAGAAATTAGTATTTAAAAATAGAGAAGCTCTCCAGTATAATTTATTTATATAATGTTCATTGCTGTTACAACCGACACTTATTTGTTTTTTTTTATACATAAACCTGATTATTAATATATGTCCCTAGTATATATGCTTATGATAAACTTTCTGCAGAAGGTGCATAATTCAATAATAAAGCAAAAATAAGGTATCCCCTTAACTTTTAAGATCACCAATCACATTCAAAGAGTTAAACAAGTGGTTATTATATGTGCTGATGTGCATAGAATTTTGGATGAGATAAAGAAAAAATCTATTTATTGTAACAGTCATACCGTGATGAAATTGCCAGTATTCTGTCCATCAGCACGGTGGTAATTATTTATGTTACTATTAACTCCAGCAGGAACCTTCTTGACATTAGTAGGCTGGGGATTAGAAGCAGCAGCAGCAGGCTTTGGTGCTTCTTTCACAACCGGTTCTGCGCTAACATTGGCTGGAGCTTTAGCAGCAGCAGCCTTAGGAGCCTCTCCATTTCCAAACAGATAACCCAATGAACTCTGTCCACCTCCACTGCTGACACCACGTCCCATTAGAAATGAACTCCTACAGAGACCAATAGTTAACGAGTTAAGACCGGAGCAGAATAAAAATGCTGTAACGTGATATCACAAGATGATGCATGAACAAATAGGAGAACAACTAAACAAGCATAAGTACAGCAATAGAAAAGAACAGGAGCTGAACAAGTCAAAATTCATAAGCAGCTTAACTCCTATGTAATCTTTGTTTCGACTAAGCATCCATGGCCAACGGTGAGGATTGAAAGGGAGGGAAAATCTCCAGGGTGCTTTGACACCTTTTAACATTGTGCTTGAAAATAAGTTTACTATACTCCAAATACATTGCTACTCAGTATATAGCATATTTTATGTACTGAATGGTCAATTATGTTCCAATTCTCCATGAAAACTAATAAGGGTGTCAGTGGACTGGATACCAAAATACTATATAACACTTGAACGTATGAGTAGAAGACTATCGATTACTGCCAATTTATAAGAGTAAAAAATTTCCACCACAATTAAACCCGATGCCCAACTCAAATAAGCAATCTATGAGAACCAATTGGCTTGTGATGATGGGTGCCCAGCGATTTAGTCCAAGTCTGAAATCCAGCACAAAGTAAGCTGTGAAGATCGCGTGTTCAAGAATCATTCCAAAGTAACTATGAAAACTCGCTCCTTGTATTTGGGAAAATAAATCATACAGATATCCCTCCTTGTCCAAGAGTGAGGGCTATATTTGATTAGAAAGAGAGGCTAGGTAATACAGGAAAATAGAAGTCTTTGGGAAGATACCAAGAGACTAAGCAAAAACATTACATCTCTTCATAGCTCCCCGTGAATACCCAAATCACGTCGAAAAACACACCTAAATATCAAATATTCTATTCAATCCGAATACCTCACTACGCGCACCATCCACCTTCTCCAATAACTTCTATAGCGATCACTAGTTCACTTAGCTAACTAAGGCTATCGACTCGAGCACACAGTAAAGTATGCCTTACCAAACATCCATGACGGATCTACATTCTAGATCACACAAAACCACAAATGTATACCAATAGAACCAAACAATAGCTATAATATCCCAAAAAATCAAATCAACTATGCATCGAACAGTCTTATACTTTATTACAATCAAATTTTACCAACAAATTAAAATTGCAAATTGATTTTCTCAACACCAACTCAATTTTTTCCAACAATCAGTAAAAAATACTAAAATGAGATTCGAGATCTGCCCATTTTCTTTAAAATTCTACAAAATAATGGGAATTTCAAGTCATTTTAATTCCAAGATATGAGATCAATTGGGTAAAATTCATAGGTTAAAATCAACGAAAAAATCATACCCAATTCAATTATACAAACTAATAACCAATTAAAATGAACAAAAAACAAGCAGGCAATAAAAAAAAAACTCCTCGGGAAATCCAAAATGAAGAACACTAACAACATTTCAAACAAAATTCAAGTCTGGGTATTACAAATCAGAGGGAAAAAAAGGGGGAAATAATTGAAAAAAAGAGGAAGAATTAGGGTTAGGAATGGAGTACCTGAGGCAGATCTGATATGGAGAGGTAAGAGAAAGAGAGCACTTTGAAAAAAGAGAGAAGGTTACCTGAGTCCAAAGCTATCAATTGGGGTTTTATATAACTTTTGTAACTCACCGAACCCATTTTGTCTTTATTAAAGATTTACGGAATTATTAAAAGATGAAATTTAAAAAAAGTGTGTGTTTCAAATTAATTGTACCGTAACAATTTAACTATTATATTCATCTTCACTCTTTGTTTCAAGATAAATGCCTTGATTTTGATTTTTACACTATTAGAATACATCATATTATTCATTTATTCATAAACAAGTAATTTTATACTCCGTATAATAATAAATACGAAGTATTTGATATCATGAAAATAAAGATATTACGTTATTACGAGTGCAAATTTAACAACAATTAACATTAATGTTGTTATTGCTATTAGTACAAAACAAAGGGAATATTATTACTCATTAGTATTAGGTCGGGATAATTTAATTTACCTATACTGTCACGAATATATTATACGGCCGCATAATATAATATGTGTTTTCGTATTATTTAGACTTTTATATTCATAAACTCCGTATGTAAGAAACATATAATCAGCAAGTGCAATCTTATTAAATTTATCTTTATGTACTATCTCTGTTTTTTAAAATTCGACTCACTTACTATTCATGTGGTCAAACTAAAATAACTTTGACTATATTTTATGAGCTATACAATATAAATAAATTAGCATGTAAGATCATATTAGATTTCCCTTATTAAAAATAATCCAAATATCAACTTTTTACAAATTTCACTTATACACAACCGGAGTTATTCATAGTCAAAGATGTTCATTGGAGAACGTGCAATTACAAAGTGAGTCGAATTTTTAGGAATAGAGGGAATATATACTTTCAAATTATCAACTTCTTTCATAACTTTTATTTTAAGATATATAAAAACATTAATGGTATAAACCTTGCAATCTTGCATCAACAAACCTGAAATGATGCAATTTCCTTTTTTTTTTTAAATAAAAAAAACCTATAATATACGCATACAATAATACAAGTGATTTAGTAGTATAATTAATAACAAAGACTATTATTTTACACGGTTGATATTTAAAGTACCCCTGTTCAAAAGAATCAAAACAAAAATGATTGAAGTTGTTTGTGAACATATTCGTAGGGTGACACGATGAACATTATGTAGTAAGATATTTTGTTTATCCCATTTTGCATTTAAAATAAAGTAGGTATAAAATGAGTCTTATTACAAACAAAATATGTATAAAAATACTAATATTTCGTACTCGTATATCGGTACACCCACGTATAATGTACACCGTATGCATTTTGGTGGGGCGGGTCCATAAAATTTAAAATGATAATAGTGGGTGGGAAAATAAATAATTTGAATAATTAAAAGAGGATAATGGAGGTGGAATGAGCAACAAGAACGTGATGGTA